TCAAATTAATTCTGAGTTTTGGTTTCCAGGTTTCTCTATGATAGTTGCTACCAAAATGATATCACCTGGCTATTTGACAAGTTTCGAACGCCTAATACCTAAAAGTTCCAGATCAAGGTTTTTGAAAATTTTTGAATAGTCATTTTTGACCCCACAAGACATTTCGTCTGGGTCCGCCCCTGCACTAGTGTCAGAATTTCTATTATAATATGTTTTCGGAAACGCCTCGTTTTCTGCCTCAAATTTGCAATTTAAGGTAGTCTACCAGGCAATTGTTTTAATTGTTTTTGGTTTTTTTCGCTTTTAATTGTTTTAATTGTATCTTTCTATATTTTTGTGAAATCTCATTTACTCTGCAAATTATATTTTTCTTGTGAGTTTGTGATATTTATTTCATATCGTGTCTATAATCTCATATTGTCTTCAACAAATTGGTATCGAAGTTATCCGGTATTTTCCGCATTTTTCAACAAACTGGTATCAAAGCCAAATGTTTGAAAATTCTAGGGAGATCGAAGTTTTGATCAAGTTAAAAAGCTTAGCTTGATCTTTAGTGATGAAAACCATGAATTTTGATGTTTTATTATTGGATGGCAATATAAGATTTTCATTGTGGCACATCACGAGGCGAGCAGTGCTTACTTATATAAGATTGATTTTATTGTTTTTTTAATGATATGATTTTATATAATCATGATCTCACCGTTGAAGAAGTTTATGATACTCTATATTTAAAAAAAAAAAAAAGATAAAGCATCTCATTGAAACTAAGGCTCCTGGAGATAAGCTTGTTCTTGATGGTGGTTGAACAGTGGGCAAATTAAGGTCTAACTTCAAAATTTATTGCAAGAATTTGGGGCACTTAATTAAGGATTGTTATAAGTTGCAGAATACATAAAATTTTGCTGCAACTTTTTAGAAGGAAAAGCAATTACATACTTCAGGTGAAGCCATTGTTGAAACTTTTCACAATGATGGAGAACTTTTTTACTTGCTTCTGACTACTACTCCAAACTTGAGGAAGATTGGAATCTTGATACAGCTTATGCTTATGTGTCCCAATCGGGATTCATTTTCAACATATGAAACAATTTCAAAGGTGTGTTGGTAATGAAAAATAATACATCTTGTTGAATAGTTGGTATTGACTGGGTCGAAATAAAGTTGTTTGATGGGACAGTTAAAACACTTGATACGGTGAGACAAGTTCCAAATTTAAAGAGAAATATTTTCTCCTTGAATACTCTTGTTTTAAAAGGATACAAGTCCACCGGTGAATGTAGAGTCTTGACAGCTCATAAAAGAGACCCTTTTTTGTTATATGTCTTCCAGTTTTATACAGAATCTTTGATGGATCGGCATATTTTAAGGACTCGGGTAGATTTGGAGTTTGATTATGTACCGTTGGAGTCTAATTTAGGGTCTTCTTTGAAAAATTCATCTCAATTGAATTTAGAAGTTAAAAGTAATGCCGCTTTGCCACTATTATCGATGGTGCCATTGTATTCAGTTGTTAGAAACAAGCCAATTTTTTGCTATAAGCCTCCACACATGTATAATAATACTAATTTATTTGTTTTCTCTTCGTTCATGGTTGAAAGTGTTCATTCTAACCTAGATCCTTCTATTGAAACGTTATGTGGTGTTTCTATTACAGAGCTTATTTCAGCCTTATTTGGTGATTATTAATCACGTTTGATTTTGTTGGTCGTGATTCGAGCAACTTTGGTGTTCAAAGGATTTCTTGGAATTTCGTTATTACTCAAGTATTGAGTTTTTCCCTTGGGTGAGTGGCAGAGTTTTTGGAGAATATTTTTGGTTGGAAATTTTGATGGAAATCTCATTTGTGTTTTTTGTTAAAGAGTTGAAGTTCATTCTTTACAGTGGAGTTTTTCTCCTAGTGGAGAATCGTTGAAGTTTACTCATTGCAGTAGAATTTATATCAATGTGGAGCATGTTAAAATTAGGATATGACCCGAATTCTATTTTGAAGATAATTGAGAATTTTAATTAAATTCGCGACTTAAGAAGAATTCTACTTGGAATGTTTTTGAAATCCTATTCGAAGTCAATATATTTGGCAAATTCTAGTTGGAATTCTATTTGGAAGCCCTATTAGGAGTTGAAATTTGTGTTGTATTTGAAGATATCAAAATAAGAAAACTTCTAAGTATTCTATTTCATCTAAAACTCTACTTTTAGGACTTAGATTGTTCCATATATATTTGACCATTCTCTACAATTTAGTTGGGTTGATTTTACTCCAATATGGGTTATTAACCTCATTATAGGTTGGTTTAACCTTATTCGAGGTTTGTTAATCCCCAATACTAGTTAGATAAATTGTAAACACGAACTCTCCATATTTTAGTAAAATCTCATTTACTCTGCAAATTATGTTCTTTTTGTGAGTTCGTAATCTTTATTTTATATTATGTCTATAATCTCGTATCATCTTCAACAAATTGGTAATGGAGTTGCCCTGTATCTTTTGTGTTTATCAACAAACTAATATAAGAACATTCCATTTTACAACAGTGGTATCTCAACATGACATGGGCACGAAGAGATCTAAAAATCAGTGATATTTTTGTAAGGGCTAAAATCACTTGTTTTAACCATTTTATATGATATGGACACCTGATATAGCCATCGGCGGACATAGAGGATGGTATGGGGTCACGTGACCCCCCAACTTTGCTCCTTTTTTTTCACCATTAAATTTTCTATGTTTTTGTTTCAATTTTCGAAGTCATTATGGGATGTGAAACGAAATCGAAATATTGCTTTATTAATGCTATTTCGAAGTGCTTATGGTCTAGTTTTCTACGTCGTTAATGGAGTACGAAATGATCAATCGTAGCAAATGTTACGACTTGTCAAAATAGGTAGTTTAAATTAGTATTTTGAAAATTTTGATAACTTGCTAATTTTAAAAATTCTCAAACGATCATACGCTAATCGAATCTACAAATTGTTTATATCATCTCA